GGGCTGGATTGAACCCGCCACCTTAGGTGTATGTGGCTGGTGCCTTAGCCGCTTGAGCCACAGGCAGCGAGCCTACAAAAACATTCTTATCAGGAAGAATATTCCAAAGGTTCAGAGATTATTTCCCAGGAAGGTAACAGAGGCTTTTTGGGAGAATATGTAGGTTTAGAATAACCCAAGCCTATTGAGTTTTCCCTTTGTTACATGCAATAGAAAGTGTTATAATGGGGGGAACTGAGTGCAAGACATGTGGCAGATCTGTACAGTGTTCTCAACTGTTGTGCAAGTCTAAGATTGTTCTAAAAATACATTACAAATTGAAATTCAATTGGAACAGTAGCTGATTTAAGTTGATTTATGCAGGCTCGAAGTATTTTAACACTTTCCTACAACATGATTTGTTTAATTAAAGGAACTGTGTCACAACAGATACTCCTGTATCACTTTGGCCAATACTTCTAAAATTTGTATTGTATTTATATTTAAAGAAAGGAACTGAATTTTTTTTCATAGCAACACTAGTTTTTTATTATTTATAGTACTAAAAAAGTTGAAAAAAATGCCCACCAACTGGTGAAAGGATAAATAAAATGAAATGCTATTTCACCCATTTAAAAAAATAAGTACTGATATATGCTACATCATAAAGGAAACTTGAAAACATACTAAGTGACAACAGCCAGTCACACAGGATCACATACAGCATGATTTATGTGAAATGTCCAGAATAGACAAACCCAGAGACAGAATGTAGGTAAGTATTATAGTTTCTAGGGGAAATGAAAGCAACTAAAAACAAGTATGAGTTTTCTCTTAAAGGTGATAAAAATGTTCTAGAATTAGACTGTAGTGATGGTTGCATAGCCTTGTATATTATGTCTGTATACTAAAGCCACTAAATTGTATACTTTCAAAAGACAGAATTTTGCAGTATGTAGATTGTATTTCAATTTTAAAAAACTACTCTCATAAAATGTCAGGTTAAATTTCACTAACAATATGCTCTGATTTTTGTATACTAGACAGGCACACATTCCTTTATTTTAAATAAACGTAATTCTATTTAATCTGAATATTTCCTTTCTGTACCTTTCTTATCCTCCTTTCTTTTTTTACTACATTCTACTCATATGTACACAAACCTTTACCTTTGTAGAGTATTATAAAGGCTAAGACATTAGGAACTCCTTCTCTATGCTATCCTGGCATCATTGCAGCAATGAAATTCTTTTCATGACTATTAGGTCTCCTATTGTCTCCTAACATGTGGCAAAAGCAGATTGAGTAGCCTAGCATTATAGACAGGAAAAAGAATTCAACTGCTGATTTCTACAGCTCTCTGGTTTACAGCTTGATAAATTACTGCCATCATTAGTCAAGCAAAAAATCTCAAACAACAGGTTTGGTTTTCAGAATCTTTTTCCATGATTACAAAATTATATACAACCAGTGATATTATAGTTACTAAATGTACACACAAAAGTCTGATTTTTTTTAGTATAGAAAAAGTTGAAAAGTTCATTAATAAATTTTGATAACGTATAATGAGACAAATTTTCTGTAACGTTGTTAGATTTGTTCTCTAACATTGTTACTTTCTGAAAGGAAGTATATTATCTGTGTATATTTAGTGATGGCTTCTTTTTCTAATCAAATATTTGAAAATCTTTATTTTTGCTGGCATCAAAAGGATCCATTTATGAACAAACTTTTAACTGCTTTCTGTATATGGTATATGTGAAATAGCCTTAATTGAGCAGCTAATCTTTCACTTGCAAATATTATGAAAATATCCATATAATAAAAACAATCTCTTATCGTTAGAAGAATGTGCTTATTAATATTCTCTAAATTTTTTTTTATTTTAATGGAAGGGATCCAATTGAAGCACCTCTGAAATGCAACTGCAGCATTCTGATGAAAACATATTAGTTAATGTCACTGACTTAGGAACAAAACTAATCTCTGAATTCAGAATGTTAGCTTCTCTTACTAGTTTAAACCTGTTTGGGGGAAGATACAGAGATTAAGTCTTTACTTATATATACATATGTTTATCCACTCTAAGTCTGCTGAGTTTAGGTTTTCTGTTAAAAGTTCTTAGATACTATATTCAAATTGTACAGAAATAGATTTTGTACAGTAAATAAACAAAAAGTGTTGACTTTCAACTGATTCCTTTGTTATGTCCACAATCACAGGCAGATTCTCAAATCTAGCTTCAGTTAAGTTTATCTCAGAGGAGTAAGGTATGCCAAATATCAAGATTGATAGGATAGGATTTTAGATCGTTAGTCTAATATATCCAAGTAAAACTGTTTTCACCAAGTCATAACTAGCTAATTGACATGGTTTTATACTGTAGAGGAGACTGCAAGAGCATGATCCAAGTTGATTTTTCTTTGGAAAAAGTTATCTGTGAATCCTCAATTGCATTGAAAGATATTAATCATGCACTGCTTAGTAACTATACCTAATTAGAAGCAAGGCAGATTTTACTTACTTTGTATTAATGCCATCTCTTCTATATATTAATTTGATGTCACCCTCTGTTTCTTCGTTTTCAACTTGAAATGCAGTAGTATGGCTCTTTAAAATCTAGAACACTTAATAGTATAAACGGATTGTAAAATAAGAGTAACTTTAGCATAAAGGTTAAAGCAAAATGCAGTTTTCGCCTTTTTGTTTATATTTTTCTTTTAGTACACTACCAACATTGCAACAAAGTACACTTGTATGGAGAAAAAAATCCTTTTTCTCCCTCTCCCTGCCCCATTAAATATCTTGTGTTAAACTGTTAGCATTAACAAGAGTCCCCACCAATATTGCATAGGTCTGCCTGTGTTTGTGCATAATATTAAGCTATGTTATTGGTTACTTCAAGTAAACTGTTGGAACAGCAGGGAGGCCCCTGAGCAGTTTGAAATCATCTATCTCAGGATAGTGATTTTACACACAAACCCATAGCAGAAAAGCCAGAATCAAAGAACTATTCTTCCTTTAAAAAGAATAGTTGGGAAACTAAAGAATCTGTTTATTCTATTTCAGACTTGTATAAATTTAAAATAACCTTTTAAGATATCATACTAAATGATTATAGTACGTTTTAATAAAATAATACAGGATACAAATAAATATATAATGCACATATTTTAATTTCTTTTGATGAAAAATACAGGTTTTTGTTTTAGGAAGTTTTAGTCCTCTTTAACGAAATTGAGAACAGTTTCTTAAAGTTGATCATGAATTTCCCTTGAGGGACTTTATATACAGCTTCTCTTTTAACTAATGGACTTAAACTTGATCCATGGATTTGCACCACGAACTTCAAAAGGTGGTTCACTGCTGAAGATGTGATGGCCTATTTCCTCCAAAGGTGGTTCAGAATCAGCTGTGGCAAACTGGGCTGCATCCTCAATTTCCTTCCTCACTTCAGCTTCAATTTCCTTTAATTCTTCAACAGTGGCAAGCTTGCTGTTTACCATTTTATCTTGGAGAAGCATAATGGGATCACTCTTACTTCTGATATTCTTAATTTCTTCTCGTGTGCGGTAACTGATTCCAGGATCACTCATACTGTGTCCATGATAACGGTAGGTCTGCAGCTCCATCAAGAAAGGTCCCTTTCCAGACCTGCAATAGTCGGCTGCAAACTTCGTCGCCTCCCGAACACACAGAAAATCCATTCCATCTACCCTCAGCCCAGGGATAAATCCGCCCCTTTTGTAGTAATCGGTGCTGGCTGCGGCTCTCTCAATAGATGTTCCCATTCCATACAGGTTATTTTCACAGATGAAAATACAAGGTAATTTCCACAGGGCTGCCATGTTGAAAGCTTCGGCTATCTGCCCCTGATTGGCAGCACCATCCCCATACAAAGTCAAACAGATCTCCTTGTTTCCCTGGTATTTGCAGGCTAGAGCAATCCCGGCCCCCAGGGGCCCCTGCGCCCCAACAATGCCATTGCCCCCATAGAAGTTCTTAGTATACATGTGCATAGATCCTCCTTTACCTTTAGCACAACCTCCTCTGCGTCCTGTCAGCTCTGCGAGAATTGATCGGACGGAAATTCCACGAGTGTAGCACACGCCATGAGCCCGATAGGACGTGATGACATGATCCGAAGGGTTTATGCCGGCCTCGAGGCCCACACAGCAAGCTTCCTGGCCATCACACAAGTGACAGAAACCACGAATAAATTTCTGCTTATACAGCTGATCTGCCTTCAGCTCCATGCGGCGAATCACCAGCATCATCCTGTAGTATTTGAGCCCATCCTGCCTGGTGAGTACTGCGCTGACTGGGGGCCCCTGTTCCAACAGATATCGATCGCATTTCTTAATGTCAAACGTAGCATCGTTTGAATAGTTATAAGACGCCACCAGCACTCTGCGAGCTGGCTTCTGGACAACACTCGACCTCACTCGGGAGACAAAGGCAGCCAGCATCTTCCTCATGGAGCACCACTGTGCGCCGCCGCGGCTTCCAACGTCTACACAACCGTCCTGTAGCCGTCTGGCGTGTGACGCATCACGTCAGGACGGCCGGCGTGAACCCTCCTGCGTGCGTCAGGTCACGCCGGGCGCGAACGTGAGCACACCACAATGGGGGGGGGGGCCGCTGGCCTCACCGCGCAGGCGCACTGGGCCGGAATGCTCCACTTGCTGTGACGACTGACGGTCCCTTCCAACTGTGAAATGAAGCCTTGTGGAGCTGCTCCCTGACTCTTATCAACAGCACCATCATTTTAAAACCACAACACTGAGTTCCTGTTCGCTCCTAACTTGTTAGCAGGACCTCTCCAAGTGTGCCCCCCCCAAGCGTGTCACGTAGAAGAAAGTAACAAACTCTAAGGCACACAAGAGCCCAGAGAGAGGAGAGGTTAATACCAACCACCACTATTTCTTTCAAGTCTTGTTTTTGATCTTTAAAATACGTATGAATATTTTTTTCCTACCCTGTAATATACCATATTTAATGTAAAAATAAAGCTGTGGGTGATTTCTGGTTTAGTTACCTTTAAAACAAAACAGATGAAACTTATAAACAGACAAACTTGGTAGTCCAAAAAAAGATGCTTTTTTCTTTTCTTTTTTTTTTTTTTTTGTGTCACTCTGTTGCCCTGGGTAGAATGCCACAGCTTCACATAGCTCACAGGAATCTCCAACTCTTGGGTTGAAGGCATCCTCTTGCTTCAACCTCTAGAGTAGCTGGGACTACAGGTGGGGCTACCAGGCCCAGCTAGTTTTTCCTAATTTTAGTAGTGATGGGGTCTTGCTCTTATTCAGACTGGTCTCTAACTCCCGAGCTCAGATGATCCACAGGCCTGGGCCTTCCAGGGTGCTAGGATTACAGGTGTGAAGCACCTGCCCTGCCAAGAAGGTGCTATCTTTATCCTGTGGCTTGTACACCTTTGTCACCTGAGAGAGGAGGAAGATCTAAGAAACCGCAGCCTGAGAGTAACAGTTTAAACCCACTAAAAAGTTGTGCCTGGCATGGGAAAATTAGAAGCAGGCTTTGAGATGCATTGTGGTAAAACGTTTGTGATGTTTACCTTTTCTTTTTCTAATAATTCTGAATCCTTTCCACCACTTTTATTCCTATTTCCTGACAAATTCACCATTTTGGGGGGGGGGGAGTGTTTTTTCTTCTGCTTATGAATGTCTTCAACAAGTTTCCTAGACTGGAATGGCTTTGTATTTTGTTTTTATATCAATCAATTTGAACCATCCTTAATCCAGAAACCTGAGAAGCATATTGTTAAAATGACTCTTTATGTAGGCATTATGGTTACTACATAAACTATTATAAAAGTATAAGTTTTTAAAAAGTGACCAACCAAACAATATACAGTTTGGACTGCAAGAGAGCAATGGAGTTTGCTTATGTCATTGATAACAGTTCCATCATAAGACGGGAGCCTTAGGCTAAGAGCTACAAAGATCACATATCATTTTTGTTTTTAGTGCTTTTACTAGAAAGGTGATTTTGAACTCCAATAAGTCAACCCTTACCAGGATCCTGTTCTATTTAGAATATTAAGCCATTCATTATAATGCAGGCTCTGTTTTATATCCATTGCCTATTAGTGAATGACAGATTCTTACCCAAATTTCCTTGTGACATGTTCAAAGCAGCCACCTTTTCTGTATCTAGTTCGAAGTGTTATTTTGGGCACTCCGTTTAATTTTCAGGCAGGAAGGAGAAAATCACTTGTTAAAAAGTTATGATACCTCTTAAAACTCAATCCTCTCCCCACCTTCCAAACCCAGACATCATAATGAGCCTTATCTTTACACTCAATTTAGAAGTGGACTTTTGGAATTTTTGGTCTTGCTGTGTTGTTTGCTCCCTCTTTGATAGGTAGCTTGTGTCTGCTGTTCTCTTTCATTCCTGCAGGTATTTGTGATCTCCAGGGAGTATTATTTCCATAAGAATGAGAAAAATGACACTGCAGGATGGAACAGTAGTGTTAATGGGTCACTGAGTGACAGCTGAGCCTTCTCTCAGAGGTATCAACCAGGCTAGCGCTGCCAGGATCACAAGAGCTCTATAGTAAAGTGTGCCAATTTAATATTGTCACATGTAGCCTGGGCTGCAAAGATAGAGCTCCCCTTAAAAGCGCAGCGTGAAGGCAAAACCTGACTCACACCAGAGGAGAATGTGCAAAGATACTAATTGAAAGATAGCTGTATTACAAGTTCCCATAGAAGATTGCACCCACCCACCCACCCCCTTTTTTGCAACAAGTTCTGGTTAAAATAAATAATAAACTGTCAAACTTCTAGGGACATCTTGGTCATCAGTTACCCTACACACCCTAAATTCAACTTAAAAGTAGATGGCTGAAAGCATATTTGCAGAATATGATGTTGAAGCATTTCTATTAAATGAATTAATCATGATGATGATTTTGTTTTACTGTTACTGCTATCTTCCCAAACCTATCCACATTTTCCAAAAGTGAAACTTCTATACATCAGGGAGATCTAGAGTTGTTGAGCTTCTCTTCTTACAGGCCTCCAGCCACAAGGATTCAAACTATACATTAACAATAAAGCCAATGAAGTTGTTCTTTTCTCCAAAGGATTTTTTTTTTGTCTTGTCATTGTTCAATACCTTGTTTATCACCAAACAGAACCAAGTTATCTACATGCTCACCACTGAAATGTTTGCAATTAAAATCCCCATAAATTCTAAGTTTTTAATTAACATGAAATCTCACTTTTAATCTACTTGAAATTAAAGGAAAACAGATGAGCACTTTTATAAGGCCAATGGCAGACTTTACATTTAATTAATAAAAAACTTAATAAAAGAGGAGCCAGTGATGATAGTAGTAGTCCTTTGTTCCAGTGGGACAGAATTTCACATTTTATATCTGATGGTTGATCCTATAAAGGCATTTCTAACTTTATCTTAAACATCACTCCCATTGCATCAAGAGCATATAAAACATTTTTAATAAGAGACAAGGAAATGTACACAAAAGAACAGTTACCATGTTGGAAGGATATTTACATTTCTCCAGTAATAATTGCACTTTTCACCAAATGTTAAATGAAAAAAGCTGTTAAGGAGTGAATATATTCTAGATAAATAATATTAGATCTCACGATTAGTGGCAATGTACTTTTTCATAGCTCTGAGATTTGGCAATTAAGAATTATGAGTAAGAATTTGATGCAAAAAGAAATTGAGTTATTCAGAGTTACTCAGAGAAGAATTTTCCCATTTGGTCTATTACTTTAACTCCCTTAAAGAAAAGAGAAAATGCCAGTACCATATTTTGCAAAATAATGACAAGCAAGAAATGTACATCTCTATTGTTACAGTAGGTGAAGCTATTCCAGAACATTTCAGGGACCTGAGCAAACAATATTTTTATTTTCTTGTCTTACCCTAACCGTATTTCTGACATATCATTAAATAACAACTCAGGACAAACTATCACAAACAGAAGTCTTGATTGGAAATGACAGGGAAAGTAGGAGTATTCCTTATTCTATCCAGATAATGATGATGGTGTGAGAAAAGGAAAGATATGTAAAAGGGGTTGATTTTTAGTAGCAACAGAAGGAGCCACCATCTTTCTCCTGCTAGAGCAGCAGAGACGTCTCCATCATCATGCTGTATTGACTGAGTACTGTAGTACTCAGGATCTAGCAGAGATCATAATATAAAACTGTGAAAGAAAACTTTCTAGACATTTTATAAGCTCTCTACAACTAGCACAGTCATTGAATGTAGTCAAGTGAGATGGGAAATAAAATTTTATTTATCAAATCTGGTATCACAATTTACTATGGTGTAGGGTATTGAACAGTGGAGGGTTGGTATGGGAGTCTAGAGGTTTGGACTGATTTCTGCTCAGTATTTTCAGTTGTCTTGTAGAACCATAATTCTCATTCAAAATAAAATCAGGACAATAAATGTTCCTGACAATTACAGCAATTTCAAAAAGTCCCAGCCAGGATTAAATCGGTTTTGCATTTCCTTCAAAAAATGTTTACACTTCTTGGAAAAGTTTTGTTCAGGAGATTTTCATTCTCACATATGTAAAACCCCATATTTCAAATTTTTATTCTGTAAATAAACATACATCTCTCCCTAGTAATTTTGATGTTAATAATAATTTTATTTGTATATAATATATACATATATTATGCATAATAAATATGTATATAGTATATAGAGAGATAGATAGTAAAAATAAACTCTACTCAATAGTGAAATGGGAGCTTTTCTTTTCTGTGCAGTCTCATATTAGTTTCCTCTTGCCTGTATCATTTTATTATATTTTCTTTATAAACACCCTTCAAGAATCCTTCCTTTTAATGACTGGGTGGAACAGTATGTTTCTACTATCACTATGCCCATGTGATAACATAATTAGCACATTTACTTCTACTGTGCTTCTTTACAGAAGTCCTAAGAATCACTGAAGCAAGTTTAAAATAGAGAAAGGAGTATTGGCAACATTTCAGGGCACTGCTGCCCCCTAGAAGGAAATTTGAGCAGCACATTTGACCAATACAGACAAAGCTTGAGAAGAGACTTTAAGGAAGATTGCAGATCACGCGTCCTACTTTCAGTGCTTATTGTTGGCCACACTTTTGGATATTTTTGGTCCCCTCCTGTGTCTATGTTTGGGCACACTGTTATCTATTAGATTCTAACCATGAACCCTAATAGAGTCTATCTTAATACATTCACAGTGGATCCCTGTGAATGTGTCCAGATATATAAGCAAATTTTTCTCGGTAAATAATATTTTAATGAATGGAAATGAAATTTTAGGTTATTATATGCTTTAACTTAAGATTTTAAGGCATCATAAATATTGGCCAAGTATGGGATAGATTTGCATCTTTTTGCTGGAGACACAAAGTTAGCACTTTGTTATTTTCACCTCCACAGAGTCTGAGAAAGTAGTGATTCTCATTCCCAATTTATA